GAGTCCTACAACTCTAATGAAAACTTCTATACAGCTTTTTTCATTTCATTATGTTTAGTTTTCGTTTTTTTAAAAAGACTCTAAACTGTATAAATAATGTAAAATTAAATTGAATTTATTAGCCAAGAGTTGGAAAATTACCGTAATTTTACATAATTTTACGTAAGTTTGTGTAAGTTTCTGAAACCAAAATTACATGTAATTTTAATCATGTGAATAATTTTTGCAAAAATTTTTATAAAGCTGGTATTAAAAATAAATAAAAATTACAATTCCGAACATAATGATGGATATCTATTAATGCTGGCTAAACTTTTGTAATGTCGGTAAAATTATCATATAATAATGCACTATTCAATGTAAAGTTACATTACAATTTCGTAAGTTACAATGTAATTTACGTGAAACGTAACAAAGTAATTTATGTAATACATCCCTATCTGCATCACCTGATTAATAGAATCCATCGTTCATAATTCTGCAGATCATTTGACCACATTTAAAATTGTTTTGTTCTAGATCTGGCCAAATGATCTGCAAACTTGACCAGAATTATTAACGATGAGTTGCAAATTCACCGATATGCAGAGAAAAAGTGAAAAAACGCAAAACAACAAAAACTGACGTTTAAACTAACCTTAGAGCACTAATTAAAAATAATGGGAGCCAAATTTTACACATATTAAGTAGATGTTTTATATATATAAACGCGAAACCTAATGAGTAAAAGTCTCTAGGAACTGAGGCTGTACAGGCTGCGCAGTAGATTCAAAAAAACCTCGATTTTCCCATCTCTAATCACGTCTCTTAATAAAAATAGAATCGTCCGTGTGTGTTCTAAATTTGTTTATTGTTCAAATTTTACTATATAGAATTCTGAATCTAAATACGTGTTGTGGGTGGTTTTTGGAATTAGCAAATTTGTTTAAGTCTCGACTACTAATCCTAATTAATTGTCTAAATAATTGGTTAATTTTATTTTATTAAAGTTTGTGTTTGATGTAATACAATTTAGTATAACTTATTTAAACATTACTAAATTAATAACTATATAAATAATGATCTATAGGATTAATTATTCCCATACAGTATTTTAAATTTTTCTTAATAAAATATAATAAATTTTGTTCGAGAATGAGCTAGTTTATCGAGAATAAGTTGGGGATGGGTTAATTGAAAATTTATCAAATTTCGCTATTTTCAGCTATAAAACAAGAATCAATTAATAAATTTAACCTAACATTTTGAGAATTAAATATTTTTACATACACGAATCTTCTTCATCAGAATTTGGAATAGAATCTAAATGTAATGATGAAATGCCAGTAGAGACTATATTTTGAAGTTGTTGAGAAATATGGTTGAGTGATTTACTAGTATATAAAGCTCGTGAATGTTGAAAAGTAGGTGATAATACTGTTTCAATTATTTTATCAGAATTCTCAAAGATTTTTTTAAATTTTTCATCTGTTCTCCATAAACGTAATTCTTTTACAATATTATCAGCAGTTGGTCGTTTAGAAGGATCCGCATGCATACATTTTTCTGCTAACCTAATATAACATTCAGGTGTACCTTTGGCAATTGGAGGGCGCAAACCTTGATATATTTCATATGCAAGTTTTGTACTATGTGTAATTCCTTCATGGGGTTGTCTACCTGTTGATACTTCCGTCATAATGATCCCAAAACTATAAATATCTGACGCTGTAGTATATGGTTGGCCACATATTACTTCAGGTGCCACGTAAGGCAGTACTCCAAATATCTCTTTTTCATCGGTTGATTTCTTGGCTGGTCGAGCTAATCCTAAATCTGCAACATATGATGCCACTCCACCATCAGCATGTATGTTTTGTAATATGTTGCCACTGTGAAAATCATGATGAATGTAACCTTTTTCATGGATCGTACTTAAATCTATTGCTGCACAACACAAGAATCTCAATTTATCAGCCCATTTAAGCTTTGTAAAATTTAATTGAAGGTAACTCCTAAGACTTCCAAATAGGGCATGTTGAAATACTATCATATAATCTTTAGTTTCCGTATGTTGTGTAAAACCATATAGTTTAAGATATTTCTTATCTTGCGCAAAACATTCATAATGAATTTTAAACTAAAGAAATTCAAAAAAAAAAAAAAAATCAAATAAGAAATATTAATCAATGAATCGTAAATTTATTTAACGAAATTAATCAATTACCTCGTCCAAATAATTATCCGGCATATCTTTTGAACCAGATAAATTTTTAAGTGCAATAGTTGATGGAAGTCCTCGAGATTTAATAGTAAAGTTTCCGTTATCATCTTCTTTTACTTCTCTCATCCCATTTATCCAAATGGCTGAATATACTTTACTGAATCCTCCTTCACCTATTTTATCTAATTTAGTAAATTTATCAAATGTTATCCATTCCAATGCATTTTCATATTCAGTAGTTGACATCCATGCTTCTTTTAAAAATTCATCGATAGCTTTATTTCCAGAACCACCAGAATTATCAAATTCTTTAATCAACTTTAATGGATCACACGATTGACACCAAGCTTGTGCCGTATTGGGTTTTTTACATTCTGTACAAATTCCATTTTCTTTCTTTCTTTTATCGTTAAATTCGTCAATATTAGACCCGTTTGTCTGCATGATTACATGTAGGATTGATTAAAAAAGAAAAGTATAATACATGTATGTATGAAGTTTAAATAAAAATGGTTGTAGATGTAAACGCATGTTGTAAGTAAAAAGGAGAATCAAAAAAATAACAATATATAAATAAAGATATGACACGATAATGAAAAACCAATCCAATGAACAATAAGATAAAACAAAGAATTGGTGTATTTTTCTTTATAATATAAATTTGGAAATGATTTGATTATCTTAGCCAGTTAGGGGTACCCTTGTGTTAAAAGGTTACCCCGGGTAGGACAGACATTTCGAATGATCGACAGTAATGAGATTTTTAAATTAGGTATAACGTGAATCCCTACACTTTTTTCTGAGAAACTCATAATTTTGTCTATGATATTGCTTTCTGCGTTTTAGCAAAATGTTTCTGCAAAATTTTAGTATAATCTAAGCTTTATTGCCGTCATGACCAAATTATTTTACCAAATTCTGACTGGTGTCGATCATAAAAAAATTGCAGATCACCTTCAATTTGATTCTGGAGGACCGTCAGTAATTTGATGTCGACAATCATGGCGATAGTAAAATTCGTAAGGTACGTAAATACAATTATATATTGGATTGTTAAGTTTAAAAATATATAAAAATAAAGTTTAAAAAGATATAAAAATAATATTTTTATTCAAAACAAATTGATATTATCAAGCAAATATTATATACACACGAATTATATCAGAATTATTAGGTAAGTTTACGTTCTTTTATCTATAATGTGGTAAATTTGCTTGGAAAATACTGTATATGAAAATTTTATAAACGAAATTATAATTATAGTATTTGCAAACTATATTTTGTCCATTGTCGATTATAATGGATTAGTGTACATGTATTTTTTTTTGTATTACAAGTATAGTCAATCGACGGTCATTGGGTCTTAGACATACAGACTGATCTACTTTTAGATGGCGGATTAAAGTTAGATAAATAAGTCAAAAACAGTTTATGTAACAATGTAGTGTAACAATAGATTATAATTATTGTGTAGCAATAGATTATAATTATTTTTAACACAATATATATTTTATTATAATATTATAATTGTAATCAAAATTGTATTAGTAGATATTAAATTTTTTTGTTCGTAAATATAATTATTAATTATTATATAATACAAATAATACAAATTTTAAAAATTTTGTTCTTTTTATTGTTTTATTAACAATTATGAATTGTTTAGAATTTGACCTTCTTGAATCTATTCTTTATGAACCACCTAATGGTATTTATAATAATTATTTCTTATTACTAAGAAATTGTTTGAATAAAAAATATAAAAAATTTTTTTAAAATAAAAATATAAAAAATTTCAATAATCTCTTTGAATTGAAAATATATTTTCTTGAATTAATAATATAAAAATAATATTTTAATTATTTTTTTATATTTTAATTAGGATTTTATTTGCTTGATAAACATTTATCACGTTTAATCAAGTCTGCTATTTATTTTTCTCAAAATCCTAATTATGAAATTTTTAAGAATTGCACAACTGAAGAGTTTAGAAAAACAGTTGAAACTAAATTATATGAACATGTCAAAGAACTAGGTGAAAATATTAAACAAAGGGTATTTATTCATTATTATTAATTATTAAATGTTATTTTTATTATTATTACTATTGCTAACGTCATGATTAATGTCATTATTAACTTTATTATCAACATCATTTTTATTAACATATTATTAACATCATTATAATTATCATAATCATTACAATTATTATTAATGATCGCATAATATTATTATTATATCATTACTATCATCGTTCCTATCATTATTATAAATCATTATATTGTTATCATGTCAAACTAAATGTTATTTTATTAAAACAAAAGGTGAGACTGACAGTGAACAAGGATGGAGTTGTAAATATAACTAGTGCTACTTTGAATAATCTTCATACGCCAGCATTATTAAAAGGTTAGTTTATTAAAATATTTAAATATATAGTAAACTCCCTTATTTTCGATTTAATTTTTTTTTAATATAAATTATATTCATATATATTTACATAGAGCCGTTAAGAATAATGTTAGATACGACATTTACATCTTCAGATAATATCTTTCTTTACCATAAAACAACCAATAGAAAAACTTATAATGAAGCTAGACAACATGTAAATTTTTTGATAATTATATTTATAATACTTCGTACACAATTTAATAAATTTTGTTATTTTAGTTGGGTTTAGGACCAATTCCAGGAACTGATACGAAGAATAATATATTTGACGCATTATTATTTAATGAGAAAAATGAAATTACTGAATGTTCAATCTCTAATATCGCTGTTGAGTTTTTTGATGACGATGGAAAACCATTTTGGAAAACTCCTGATGTCGGATGTGGTAAAGTACCCTTGTTTTTTTTCGAATATTTAATCTATAAATATAATTTATTTGGTGTCATATTATTAAAATAGGAATTTTGCCGGGAGTAATGAGAGAACAATTGATCGAAAATGGTGACCTTATTCCTGGTGTAATCAGTATTGAAGAGATCAAGACTGCCCAACGAGTATGTATTATTTTTTAGAAAAAATCTTTTCGTGTTATCATATTTAAATTATTATTTCTTGATTTATAGGAAGGAAGAAAGATAAAATGCTTTAATTCTGTAAGAAAGGAATTTCAAGTGGTTTTAGTTGACGAACCCTTATTATAAATAGTATGATCCAAGTATAACGATTAAGTTTTAATATCAAACATTTACAATTTTGTTTGTAAAAATCAATTACAATGTTTAAAATTTTAAATATGGATTAAATATGCTTTTTAATAAAGATAAATATTATTTTTATGTCTAAATGATCCTTCTTGCTTTCAAAATTTTAAATTAAATATTTATTGGTCATTGAAGCTAAAAGATACACATTACGACAGCTAAAATTCCTAATTTGATATTCTTGATCATTTTACCAATTACATGAAGATATGCCATTCCTGTTATTTTGACTGGTGCGATATTGAAGTTATTATAGTGCACGCTCATTAAATATCGAAGCATATTATAGATGCCTGTAACAATATAAGCATTAATATTGTGATTCGTTAATCGGCGATTCGGTTGCTACTCTAATCCAATTCTCGCGTAACCTACGGCGGCTAAGTCGAAATAGGCGTGTTAGA